GCAAAAAGATGGCCAACTCTCAACTTTTCGCGTGCGTCGCTCGTCAGTTGTTGCAAATGAATAAAATTGTGTGAAATATTTTTCCTTTTTGATCAAGTGCGGGCAAGAAATATCGTATTTAATGCAATTATTGATATGAAATATTAATTTATCTGTCGTTAGTATGTTAATCTAGTGTCCCAAGCATTCGCTGCCAAGCGTTCATTGTAGCAAGCATACTTTTGACGTGCGTTCTGTCAAACCAACGCCAACGCTAAAGCCAATGCGAAAGTTCAATGTGGGCCGGCCTTAAAAGCAAATTAATTAATCATTCCATATTTTTTTCTTTTTTAACTGTAAAATAATAACAGGTTCTGTTCCAAATTTTTGCATTTGCACAAATTTTCTGATGAAGAAAATCGATGAATAAATACGAAATAATGAGCGGTCAAATGAAAATGCGCAAAGATTTTTTGTATGAAATATGAGCAGAAAACCGTGTTACTCAGGGTATACCTGACGTGGCGTATGAGATACTTTCTTTCCTACTCATTTTTGATACAAAAAATCTCTGCGTATTTTCATTTGACCACTCATTATTTCTTATTTATCCATCGATATTCTTCATTAGTAATTAGATTTTTTTTTGTGACAGAACAGGCTTAGGTACAAATGCAAAAATTTGGCACAGAATCTATAATTTTTTTAATTTTTCTTCTGTTAAAGTTAAATTATTTCATTAAAAAATAAAAAAAAAGCTGGTTAATTAATTTGTCACAAACTATAAGCCCTATCGGAAAGTGATGTATATTTACGGAGAATTTTATTAGCTTTCACTTTGCCGTATTTTATATCACGATTTTTAAATTGTTTCGTCAGATATACGTGATTAAAAGGAACCAATTTTTGCTTTAAGCTGAATAACGGTAAATTGAAAATATCTCGAAAACGTATCCATAGAAAAAAAATTAACTCGATTTTTAGAATCACCGAGCAATTCTACATCGGAATTGGATAGTGGCATCCATAGAACATTTTTGCTGTAAACCAGTGTTATTGGAGGATTTCTTTTTCGGGAGAAGTAAATTCCCGGTGAACAAACTCCCTGGGAGTGTTTAGAATTGGGCTGCTTATATTATTTCACTATCCCTGCCAGCCACGGCTCACCATTTTCCCCTGAAATTCAAGCGATTTACCAACACATTCACAACTTTTCAGTCATCTCACCCACAAGAAAGTTAGAAACATCGGAGTTTCAGCGTTTTAGCCACATTCTAAAGGTTAATATTGAGATTTTATATATGTTTATATAATTTAATTGATATTTTTGCTTGTTTACAGATTTGGCATTCACCATCAGCACCTTCAACGCCAGGAGCACCATTAGAAAACTGAGTTTATAAATTATTTAAAACTGTTAATATACATCAAAAGAAAGGGTAAATCGATTACCTTTCTTTTGATTATAATATCGCTGAAATCGCTTTACTTTTTTATAAAAATTTGGCACTTTTGCAAACATCTATATGTTAGCAGTGAAAAAGTCAGATTTTGCAAAGTTGTAATAAAACTGAATTTTTGGGAACCAATGTAAATAATTTGCAACTGTTAATATATATCAAAAGAAAGGTAAATCGATTACTTTTGTTTTGAGTATAATATTGTTAAAATCGCTTGACTGTTTTTTGTAACATTTGAAAACATCTATATGTAAGCAGCGAAAAAGTCAAATTTTGCAAAGTTGTAATAAAACTGAATTTTTGGGAACAAGTGTGAATGATTTGCAACTGTTAATACATATCAAAATAAAGGTAAATCGATTAACTTTCTTTTGATTCTAATGTTGTTAACATCGCTTAACTTTTTATATAAATTTTTCAACTTTTGGAAACATCTATATGTAAGCAGTGAAAAAGTCAAATTTTGCAAAGTTGTAATAATACTGAATTTTTGTGAACCAGTGTAAATAATTTGCAACTATTAATGTATATAAAAAGAGAGGTAAATCGATTACCTTTCTTCTGAGTACAACACTGTTAAAATCGCTTGACTTTTTTATGGAAATTTTCCAACTTTTGGAAATATCTATATGGGAGCAGTGAAAAAGTCAAATTTTGCTAAGTTGTAATAAAACAAACTGAATTTTTGTGAAGCAGTGTGATTTGCAACTGCTAATATACATCAAAAGAGGGTAAATCGATTACCTTTCTTTTGATTATAATATTGTTAAAATCGCTTAGCTTTTTTATAGAAATTTTGCAACTTTTGAAAACATCTATATGCGAAGGAGTAATACTAATAATAAGAAATTAAGCAACCACATATGTGTGTAAAAATATATTTATTAATAATGTTAATTATAATTTTTATTAATATTATTAATTATAAGTTTTGTGTATTAGTTAAACAATATATTATGAAAAATAAATTTTGCAAGATGAAAAATCAAAAAACTTTAAGTTTTTTTTCTAAAGTTTCTAAGGTTATTTTAAATTCGCCGTGAAGAAAAAGCAACCCTGCGCCAGCTGACGTGGGAAATATTAAAGGGGTGAATCTATTAGGGTGCTCACAGTTCTATATTATCTACTGTGTTAATTTTGCCACCTGGTAACTTTAAAACATTTTACCATGTGGTAACTTTGTTTGTTGTTGGTTCCCATACTAATTTGAGATAACACTTTTGGGTAAAATTACTCGACTTTGTCTCATGTTTATGTTTTGTGGCATCTATCGCTGCTTGTACATACATACATGAATTTCGCTTTGGGCGCAGCGCTGCTTGTACATAAGTTTCGCTTTGCGCCTGCCTGGAGCTGGCAAAGGTTCTTTTTTTTTGCGCTGAGCTAGCTGGGTATAAAAAAGAGAAGAGAGAATAGAGGGAAATATGTATGGGGTTTGTTGATGCTCTCTAAACACAAACGCGTGAAAGGCAAACGGTCTAGCAATGCGTGGTATTGTTGATCAACTTAATACTTTATTTAAACGTAGGGTTGCTCACAGTTCGAGTGTGTTATCTTGTTAAAGCTACCACCTTTTAACTTTAGAAGTAAACTGTGAATACCCTATATATGTTTTCATTACGAGTGCGAAAGTGATGCAAGGCTCTCTCGTAAAGGGGGAAACTAGTGACAATCTGCACACCACGGTGCAGCGAACACACTGTGCCGATTTTGACAGTTGCGGTAACTTGTAAATAAACCTTTGTTTACATTTCAGTGGCAAAGATAAATTTGAATTATAAGTGAAGAATCAATTTAAAATTGTTTTAGTTTGCAATTTGTGAGTGATTTTTGAGTTGAAGCCTGCGTAAAAACTGAAGTGCTGTGTGTTGAATTGATACAGCCGTCCAGATGCAAGATGCGTAGATGCAAGTCTGGCGCTGCGACGAATCGCTGCATTTTGTGTACATAGGGCACGGTTCCCGAAATGTTTCTTTATTATTATTTTAACAGCATTTCATCACAATTAGGGTTCGAAATTTCAGACTTTGGTATCGATACTGAGTACTCATTCTGACATCGAGCTCATGGTATCGATACTCTAAAAGTATCAGGGGAAAAGTATCGATACTACTCAGTATCGGACTCAT